CATTTTGCATCTCCATACTCAGTTTCAGTGACCATAATACCCCATATTGAGCCCGGCTTTTGCCTTTAAGGAAGAGTACATATAAAATGGAAGCAAGGCTAGTTGAGTCTTTTATTGGTCGCTCCAAGAGCACAGCAAATATTTATTGGCAAAAAATGCATAAAAAATGCTCAGTTAATAATGGCATGTGACAAAGCGATTTTGTAATCCGGAAAAAGTCAGCTCATTGGTCCTCTTCTACGAAGAAGCATAGAACCCTTACAAGGGGACCAAGTTGTTTGTTCCACTTGTAATCGTAGTTACACCCGTATTGTGTGCCTTCACATAGTTCCTTTACCTAAACAATATCGGTGAGACTTAATTTGACCATTGCGATAGTGGTGACCAAGACCGGGGATGCCACAAATCAATTGGGCCTGAGAATCCTCTATCCTGCCACACTAGGCAAATTTAGGTGACATTCACGTTGGCCATGGGTTTCTTCTCTTGGTGATAACGAATAATTCTAGTACCAGAAGAGACTGCATTATGATACCGATTCAACATTTCTAAAATACTCCTACCTTGTGGCGAAACAATATCTTAATGACTTACTTTGTTTAATTTTTTAGTTTCTACCCATATCCTTTCTAAGGTTAGAAGTACATCTACGCCCGTAGAAAACATAGGATAATCGATCACCTAGAAATGGAACTGCTTAGACGAAAAATTTAGTAAGCATTCTGGCAAACGAACCTTTTCAGTAGCACCTTCAAATAACCTTTTCTCACACTTCCTTTCTTCTTTAACTCTTGATCAGCCTCATGTGCCATGGTATTATTCCACACCTAAAGGCAAAATCTTCTTTTTGAAATATTGAAGAAGATTCAGGTGATAAGCTGAGCCTTGAAGAAGGCTTGAAGTTCACCTGTGCCGTGCATTCGAGTGGACAGTAACACTAGACTTCATGTTTCAGCTGGTCTCGAGAAGTCCACTATAGAAGACTTCTATATCACCACGATTCTCACTGAAAATTTTACTTTTGGTGAGAATAGCTGAGCTCCATAGTGGCTTGTGGAGACCAGCTGATTTGAAGACTAATGCTTCTATCTAGCCACATGCCCTATGCAAACAAATCGTTCATTGAAGGATCAGACTGCACGGCAAGAAATTATCTTCCACCTGCGAACCTTATGTGTGCCACGTAACTTTACACTGCTTTGTTGACCGGTCTTGACGTTGCCTTCAGATGAATATACTTACCAGACCTCTTTAACAAGAAACCAGAACTCCTCGTATAATTGCTTCGGTAGGTTTTTTTTCTTCTCTGATCTGCAAGAAAAAGAATATCGAACTTATCTCCGATGAGAAATGCGCTCATTGGAGTTGTACAAAGACCAATCAGCGCAACAGCTCAAATTCGAGCTGCTCCGAAGTTTGATGGCCATACTTACGTTTTGTTTTGGCGGTGGTGTTCACCAGGAGGATAGAAAGCATTACGAGAGCGAACAACATTTTTGCTGTGGAAAATGCTCTTGTCACGCTCTTTTGTATGTGCAAAGGAGTGGTGACCTTTAGCTTTCGCTGGATCTATCACGTTCTCACTAGATTTCGAAAACTGTTTTCATATAATTCCGCTTTTCATAATCTGCTTTTTTGTCGATAACAACTATTTCACTCTTCCTGCCATTTGGGGAAGCTCTGTTCGACGTTTGATGTCTGTCAGGTTGTTCAGAATGTTTCCAGGTCTGCCGTTGAGATGACGCGTACGCAATCGAAGCTTCAGTGTTTTATTGGCTATTGTGTCAACACGAGTTGGGAAGCTATAAAGAGGGCCGCAAAATTCTATAAAATTTCGTGTCGATTCAGCGCAGATAATTTGAGAAAAAACGAAGAAAAGAAATTATGTTCATAACGCAAACCCACCTACGAAAGAGTGAGTTTGTAATGGCTTTGAATTTGAGGTCGCATTTATTGATCACATCAGGCACTCTAGCAATTGAATCCGTCAGTAAATTGTTGTCGAACAAATGTGGCGCGATTGAGTAGGATGACTGGATATGCATCCGAAATTACGGTATCAGTGGGTTAAAAGTTAACGATGGCCATGAACGACGAATGCGGAGCTAGCTGAATGACAGCGCAATAATAAAGTAATGAAGTGTTACGCAACATTTATCGTACCTTCTATTGCAATGATGAACCAACAACTTGTTTCTGGTGCTGAACCCAAGTTTATTCAGGGGCATGACTAGCAATAAGCTAGAAGTCAGCTCACACCAGAGAGACACCGGGAGATCAATGGTCGACTCAAAAGATAGTACTAAACTCGTGTTTTAATGGAGCGTTCATAGTTGGCGATTAGGCGATTAGGCGATTAGTCTAAATGAAAAATATACGTATAGATTAGGCGAGTAGGCGAGTAGGCGAGTAGGCGAGTAGGCGATTAGGCGATAGGCGATTAGGCGTATAGCGGTGAAGACTACATACGTATCGACTTGTATGCTCCGCCCATAGAACGTTGTAGGCGAGTAGGCGGGTAGGCGATTAGGCGAGTAGGCGATTAGGCGAGTAGGATATATTCTGTTAGATGAGTTTCTGGACGTTTTTTACATACTGGACTTTCTGAATCTGAATTGCCGGCTCGTTTCGTAGAAGCTACTGGGCTTCCACGCGAACTTATCGGAGAATCTAAGTCCCCTGGGGATGAAAGGAAGTTCCCATTTTCGTCGAGATTACTTACAGTAGTTCTGCAAAGTATCATTGTATGCAAATATACGAATGCTTACAAGAGGTGACATACCCGTGAAATTCAGCTTTGTTTAGAAAGGCAAGCATGTCGCTATAAGGCCAGTCTTTGCCGCCGCTTGCCCCCGTAGTTGTGCTATTAGTTCGCCGTTTCCATATATCTCTGAGGTTCTTCCACACGCTCCTCAATTCACCTACTAAAATTTTTAACCTTATGTTTGGTTCGGCACTATTCACCCTTTACTGCCCCACTTTCCGATGGAGATTGGGCCAGATTTTTATCGAAATTTTTCTAAAAACGGCTAAAAACACACACGTACACAAAGTGGGGCAGTAAAGGGTAAACAATGCTTCCGATCATTTACGAAACGTTCACAAAGACCTACAGCTGCAGTTGTGACCATGTTTTTTCATGCCACTCATCACACGGCTCCAGGCGTTTTTTTTCGATCCCCCATTCTATACTCATCACTTGTTGAGTCCCAAATACTTGGCTCTAGTTCTATCAAATGAACGAGATGTGAGCGGAATATGTCCTTCGACATATTGATCTGAACACAAGCATTTCACAGCTCAATCATAGGTTTAATCAACTTAACTCGAGTTTTTTAGACTGCCCCATGAGATATCGTCAGGATGAGATGTTTCCCAGATATTCCCAGCGAAACTTCCCCAGGAGATTTATCTTTTTGAAAGAGAATATGACAATTCCTACTTTGTAATAAATATGGATGCTGTTGTAAAAAGACCGTATCAACTTTTAGTTAAAATTCATTATGTCTGCACAAGGCACACGTGAAAACGACCCAACACCAATGAGAATCTAAATCGACCATGAACATCCACACAAATGGATTGAACTCACCTGAGCTGCGCTAATGATGAATTAACATTAACCTCGTCCCTCGCACTTATTCTTAGACGAGTCTTACTTGACGTGGCATAAGCGTGTCACTCAGATAAGAGACGATACCACACTGATATAAAACTTTTATCAGGACCACAGCCACGTCTGCCACGTAGCAAACCGTGCTGCAGAAGAGCACACATTCACTGAATTCAGCAAGAAAGGATTACTTACATTACATAACTGTACAAAGAACGGGTAGAAAACTAAAAGCATTTCCTGATTTGCACACGGCGCACTCTTTAGTCGTCAAAATTGAGGTGCATAGGCATATTAGCTTCTCACCCCTACACTAGACTACTAGTTGTTAAGAGCAGATCTTGT